TCTTTTTTCTTGTTGCTGTCCTGATTGGGTGCCTTCCGCTACCCCATCCTCAATGTTGGTGATTCGATCCTCTGCTTCATTCACTCTGTTGATTCCCTCTAATGCAGGGGTCCCCAATCCCTGGGCTGTGGACTGGTACCAGTCCGTGGCCTCTTAGGAACCAGGCTGCACAGCAGGAGGTGAGCAGTGGGCGAGAGAGTGAAGCTTCATCTATATTTGCAGCCGCTCCCCAGTGTTAGCATCACTGTCTCAGCTTTACCTCAGATCATCAGGCAGTAAGTAGATTCTCATAGGAACATCAGCCCCTGGCCGCTGCTTTAAAGTACTCTTAATCTCAGATATCATATTATTCATTTCTGACTGGCTCCCTATTATGTTTTCTATCTCCATTTTTATGTTTTTAATCTCTTTGTTAGAGTTCTCACTGAGTTTATCTACTTTCCCTTAAGTTTCTTGAGCATCCTTATAACCATTGTTTTGAATTCTGCATCTGGCATATTGCTTGTCTCCATTTTGGTAAATTCTTTTTCTGGAGTTTTGTTCTTTTCTTTCATGTGGAGCATGCTTCTTTGTCTCCCTATTTTGGCTGCCTCCTTGTGTCTGTTTTTATGTATTAGGCAGGGCACCTAAGTTTCCTGGTCTTAGTAGAGTGGCTTTGTGTAGTAGGTATGCTGTGGGGCCCAGTGGCACAGACCTGGAAGGGGTCTAGCTGCAGGCTGAGTTCAGCTGTGGCCTGTGTACCTCCAGAGCTACCTGAATTACCTCTGTCTGGGAGAAAGTCGCCCCTCCAGCTCTCACTCTGAAGCCTGACAACTCAAGGCCTCCCTGTATGTCCCTGGCACCCTCGGAGCAGCTGCTGCAGCACTGGAGTTCAGAGCGAGCGAGTATGTCAGCGAGTAAGGCCGAGTGTGGGCCCTTTAAGAGAAACAGTCTCCAACTCCCACAGCTCTCCTTCTCACTCAGCTGCAACCTCAGCTGGTTTTCACAGCCAGAGATTGTAGGAACTTCTCCTCCTGGCAATGGAACCCTGGGCTGGGCATCCCAGTGTCTGGCTGGGACCCTGGACCCTTCGCTCATGTGACTTTGCTGCCATGATAGCCTTCCTGATTCTGGATCACCACATGCGGTTGTGGGACTGGGCCGTTTCGCATTTCCGCTCTGCTGCCGTTTTGAGGAGACTCGTTATTTGAGGTGACTTAGTTGTGGGGATTCTATTCAGCCAGACCTCTGGTGACTCTGCATATTAGTTGCTCTGTAGTTTTGTTATAATTTTGATGTGGTCACTAGAGGCGTGCACAGCCTCTACTTTCTATGCCATCTTGTGAGCCACTCATATTTATAATTTTTTAAAAAACCTAATTAATTTAAATATATTCAGTTTTAAAAGAACAGATGGCAAATAAGGTTTTTTTTAAAGGTAGGATTCTCCTGCATTCTCAGCCTGTTCCCCTCTCACTCTCCCACTAGGTAGGTTTACACAGCCATTCCAATGTGCTCACATTATACGTCGATGATTCAACCCTCTTTCCTACTGTCTCCATATCTCAGGTCAGAAGAAATCCAGTAAATCTTGACAACCTTCCTTTCCATCATCCTTCATATCCCAGTGGTCACTGTGATTGATTCTACCCCAAAATATGTCTTAATCCTTTTTTTCTCTTTTCCTTCCTCAGGCATAATCTTTATTACTCTCTAACCTATAATATTAACTGGTACTTGAATCTCCCATCTCATCTTATAGTGAATCATCAGTGTCACCAGAGGTACCTCAAAAGCTGCTTCTTGTTGCCTACTACTACTATGGTACAAAATTTCCTTAAATGTTTGTTATTAGTAAATATTTACTGAACACCTGTAATCTGTCTGGTACTGTGTTAAACACTTAGGATATAATTGCTGAGTAGAAGCAGACTCAGCCCTACTCTGCTGAGGTTTCTAGTCTGTGGATACCTTACACAACAAGGTCTTATTCACCCTGCCTCGTCTGTTCAGCTTCAGGTCTTATTCTCCTCACCCCAAGAGAGCCATTGTTCTGTAGTAACACTTACTACTTACTGTTACAGATCCATTAGTGTATCTTAAATCACACTGTCTGGTCTTGGAGATGAGAATGCTGAATTTTTAACATGTACCCCAAGTAATTTTTATTACTTATATCATATATGCTTTCACATTAGCATACCATGGTTCATGCAGTTCCCTCTACCAGGATTGGCCTACTTCTCTCCATCTTCTCCCCCCGCACCTAAAATTCTCTTGTTTGCTTGACAAACTTCTGTTAATCCTTCAAGACTCTGCTAAAAGTCACATCTTTTCTTTAGCCTTTTTAGTCCATTCTTCCCTATACCTATTGTCTTATCACTTAGGATTCTTTTGGCCTCAAGTTACAGAAACCCTAACTCTTGACTGATTTAAACAGGAAGATGATTTATCATCTTACATAACAGACAATCTAAAGGTAGGGCAAGCATCAGGATTGATCAGTATGGGAGTTTTTAATGTCATAAAAACCTAGATTGTTTCCTTCTTTCCATTTTGCTCACCCTGGTAAAGCTTCATTCTCAGGCTGTTAGCAAATGACTGCAGCGGTTTCCAGGATCACAGTCGGTCATGGCAGTGTTCAGAGAAGGGGCTTTTTGTTAGCAAGAAGTGGACGTCTCACATCTCAGCCCAGAACTTGGTACCATACCCATTCCTAAGCTAGTCACCGCCAAGGGGACTGGGATTCCCATGGTTGGCTTAGACTAAAATCATCTGGGCTAGAATGGGTGCTAAGGGTTAACCACAATGACCACTGTGTTACCCAGTCCAAAACTTATCTATCATTCTCCATCTCCAGTGCTGTCATCTTGTCCTTGCCCTTATGACCTTCTAGTGGAAGGTCAAAAAAGATACAGTGATGGGGTAATGAAATAGAGAGAGTGACATAGAGGTGAGTGAGGAGCCTCTTCTGGATAGAGTGGTCAGGAAAGGAGTCTCTTGATGAGGTGACATTAAAGCTGAGACCTGAGTGATGATGAGAAGTCAGTCATGCAACAATTAAAGTTATCACTGCAGAAGAAACAGCAGGTGGAAAAGCCTTGAAGTAGGAATACCTTTGTGTGTTTATTGTGTGTCTCTTCCATGAAATAAAAGTTCTATAAATACAGGTACCTTCCCTGCCTTGTTTACTTCTGTATTCCCAAGGCTCTGTCTGACACAGTGGAGAGATGGAAAGAATGTGTGGGATATAATAGGTACTCAGTAAATATTTGTTGAATGAATAAATCTCCCACAACAGGATAGATTATTGCCTCATAAAAGTTCCCACAGTACTTTATACTCTACTCATATAGGATATTTTCACGTTGTATGGTTTGTGTACATATCCGCCTCCCTTTGCCAATAGTTCACTGAGAACATGCATGATTCATCTTTGTTTTCCCATTATTGACACATTGCCTAATCTCACTGTAAGCCCTCTGTGAATTTATAGTTGAACACATAGCCCAAGTATTAAAATGAACTTTTTGTGAAATATACTTAAGTATGTTTTTCAGTGTCTCTTTCTACATAGGAGTTTCCAGCAATCTAAAACTCCTAGGAAAAAAATTCTTGGGGAAAATCTATGCTATAAAGAAAAAAAAAGTTTGCCATTGCCTTATGGCTTAAGCTCTTATATTGTAGTTGTTACATACTTAGGTTGAGTTCTAATAGGAACAACAGTTGTGTTCGTAAGAATGTTGCTTATCTGGAGACACCTTTATCCTGCCACTGAAACCAAATGATCTCCCTTTGAAATTCTCTTAAGTGAAATAGAAATTATACATTTAATAATAACTTTCTCCTCTTCTGAAAAATTACCTAAAACATAGAATTCAAACAACTGCAATAACAAAAGGTAGATAGGGTCCCCCCTCCCAGAAGTCACTATTGATTACATTTTAACATGGCTGTCCTTTCAGACATAGCACGCGGTCCTCAAATTACACTTAGGTTGCATCTCTAACATGCTTCATAACTTAGACTGAATGTTGGAATTGCATAGGTGATCTTACACAGTTATCCTTATGAAGTACATATCTTGTCCACAAGGAACACCATTATTGTTTGGTATCTATTAATAATACCAAAAACAATGTTTGTAAATGAAATGATACTATTTACTTAATAAAATTACTATAAAGAACATTAGTTATTTGTTAAGTTTCAAAAAAGAGTGTGGCGGTTCTTACTGTGCCCCATCCATTTAATGAAAGAAGCTAGTCCTTTCAGAAAGCCTTTCATTGTCTGTGCCAGCAGACTTATCTAAATGTTTTTGTAAAATAGAAATAAGAAGTGCTCATCAATGGCATGAGACTGGTGAGTAAAACAAAGCAGCTATTGAGAATATTACTCCATACAGTTACTATAACAACACAAAAGAGGGTTCTGTTTTAGAGGTTTACTAACATTCCTTTTGAATTTTAGTGAGGCACCTGTGTGAATATGAGCTTACAGAACCCAGGTACTCCATTACCTATTTATAAAAATGGGATCATGGTTGGAATTATACAATCCAAGGTTCAACTCTTGTCACACTAGCTATGTGTCCTTGGGTGTGTGGTATTTAAATTCTATGAACCTATAAGCCTAGGTTCATAGAATTTAATGAACCTATAAGCCTAGGTTCATAGAATTTACCTTGAAAATAAACCTAGTAACTCCTGCCTCGTGTGGTCATTAGGACCATGAAGTGAAATAATACATAGAGCATTTTTGTGTACATATAGAACATAGAAAATCATCCATAGTTTGGTGGCTTGCCTCTCTCACTTAAACTGTCACAAATGTTTTCCATATTGATAGATCTGTATCTGCATTATTTTAATGGCTACCTAATGCTAATTCCTGGCTAGTCTTTAATATAAGTCACCTTTGAGCAGCCTCTGGCAGAGTGATTCTCTGGCTCAGGCATTTTAGTACTGTGCAGTTTCCTGTTGGCTGCACTCCTCACAACCCTAATGCCTTTGATCTTACAGGTGTTAATGGTTTGAGGATGCTGGGGATTCTCCATGATGCAGTTGTGTTCCTGATTGAGCAGCTTTCAGGTGCCAAGCATTGTAGGAATTACAAATTCCGTTTCCACAAACCAGAAGAGGCCAATGAACCACCCTTGAACCCTCATGGCTCAGCCAGGGCTGAAGTCCACCTGAGGCAAGTGCCATCATTTTCTGTAAGCAGTTTCGGGTCCTGATTTATTATCTAATGATATATTTTTTCCATATGACCTTTGAGATTTCCAGTGTTAATGCTGCCCTTCACTGCATCTATTAAAGCGTTTCTCTAAATATCTTCTAATCCTTTGGCTCCAGGAAGTCGGCATTTGACATGTTTAACTTCCTGGCTTCTAAACATCGGCAGCCTCCTGAATACAACCCCAATGATGAGGAAGAAGAGGAGGTACAGCTGAAGTCAGCTCGGTGAGTCTTGAATGGAGAGGGGACATTAGAAATACTCTTTCCTTTCCTGTACTCCAGCATTTCAGGGCACTGTGCGGTTTTTCTGGGATCAGAATGTCCTGGGTAACATTTAAGAAGACTGAAATACAGTTTGTATTGAAGTAGCAGTAGCTGGCTGGCAAAAAGAGAATATGTTATAGAGGAGAAGTTCAAATAACTATTACATATATATTTTCTTTTCTTTGACTGTGGAATACTCTGTCAACTTTGACTCTACTACCATTGTCATCGTGGTCAGAAAGTGCTATATGTATTAAAATTGGCCTAATTTTATAAGGTACTTGTTATGTTTGGCATTGAACAAAGAGAACAGTGTAATCATATTCTCCAGGAACCTTTGAGCCAAGACTCAAAACCGATTATTTCCTGAAAAGAATTCATTAATAATGTGTCTTGTCTCTTTAGGAGGGCAACTAGTATGGATCTGCCAATGCCCATGCGTTTCCGGCACTTAAAAAAGACTTCCAAGGAGGCAGTTGGTGTCTACAGGTATGGCTAAAATTAGAGAATTACAGAAAAGTAATGAAGTTTTCCAAAATCAAAGAGGACCAAATGCTGGAGTGACCTCCCTTATTCAGTAAGTGAGGTTTTATAGATATTGTTAACTAAAGCTGATGTCCTGGGATCCTGCCGCTCTTTCATTGAACAAGGAATTTAGCATAATAAACATGACAGTGTTGCTACTTCTAGTGGGCTGTGGAATGGAGAAATTTTTAATCCTTGTCCATTTATTAGAACAATTAATGTACTTAAATCAGGTGGGTCCAGATTGTTATTTTTTTCTTTTTTCAAATGTTTAGCCCTCTTGGTGGACTAACAGACCAAAAGATTTTATTCATTTATTCATGTATTCACACAGTTAACCTTACTGCAGAATTTGTGGCTGATCTCTTGTCTATCTTTATGTCCTAGGTCTCCCATCCATGGTCGGGGTCTTTTTTGTAAGAGAAACATTGATGCAGGTGAGATGGTAATTGAGTATGCTGGCAATGTCATCCGTTCCATCCAGACTGATAAGCGAGAGAAGTATTATGACAGCAAGGTGAGTCTCACACTTTCACTCTCCCAGTTCTTTTGTTTTATTGTAGAAAATGGTCACCACCTATAAATATAATCTCTGGATCAAACATCGATTCAAAGATAGGTTTTTTTAAAAAACATTTTTAACATCTTTGAAATTTGTAGTAGGCCCAGTAAAAGTTTATAATCCACTCTAAGGATTAATAATACACAAAGATATTCTTTGAAGGTTTTTTTCTGAGTAGATCCCAGGATCAAAAGCACATAGCAACACAATTTTTAGGTTTCTCTTTCCTGCAGAGACATTAAAAAACCAGTAGTCTAGTGCCAACAATCTAGGACTTCATCATGGAAGCATCTTAAGAGATGGAAGAAATCTGGAAATTGTACCAAAAGAAACTGTTAGTCAGCAGTTATGTCACATTAGAAAATGGTTGAGAAATGTTCTCAAAACAAAGCTGTAATCAATAACATGTTCTTCTCCATTCTCCTTCACATATAGGGCATAGGTTGCTACATGTTTCGCATTGATGACTCAGAGGTAGTGGATGCCACCATGCATGGAAACGCTGCACGCTTCATCAATCACTCATGTGAGCCTAACTGCTACTCTCGGGTCATCAATATTGATGGACAGAAGCACATTGTCATCTTTGCCATGCGCAAGATCTACCGAGGGGAGGAACTCACTTATGACTATAAGTTCCCCATTGAGGATGCCAGCAACAAGCTACCCTGCAACTGTGGCGCCAAGAAATGCCGGAAGTTCCTAAACTAAAGCTGCTCTTCTCCCCCTTTGTTGGAGTACCAGGACCTAGGGCCATCCAAAGCAATGCTGAAGGCCTTTGCCAGCAGCTAGGAGTTCCAGGATTGAGTGGGCACAGTTGCGGGGCCTCCATGATGGCTGAGCTCCCTTATGTCCCATATTCACAGTATACATGTGATCATAATCCTGGAGAGAGGCCTGAGATCGGCTTTCTACTGGGGCTCCTCTGATTATATGCCATTAAAAAGTGGGAAACGGGGTCCCTAGCAGACCTGCCTAGAAGGAGCCTATTGAGGATTAGTTATGTTGGGAGATCGGGCCTGAGCATCTCCTCAGAGAGAAGTTGCCATCCTTGCCTTGGTCCTTTCCCAAGCACTATAAGCAAGGAGTCAGGCAAAGCCCCAAATATAGGGTTGGTTGGATACTTGATAGTTTGTCAGCCAGGCCCAGCCTGTAGCTGTCTGTTGAACAAACAGAGAAGGTCTGGTGGCGTTCCCTACTATCCTCCCACTTGAGAGTTCACTTCTGGTTGGGAGACAGGATTCTTAGCACCTTTGGTGTCAAAGGGCTGTCTTGGGGTTGTGCCAATTAATTACCAAACATTGAGCCTGTGGGCTTTAAGCGGGAGTATTATCCCCATGAGCCTTATCTCAGCCAATTACTTTTCTTAATAGAAGCGGCTTCCCTCTCATTCCTTCTCTTCACTCCACTTTATTCATTTTCCCTGTTTTTCATCCCACCGCTTTCCCATTCTTCTGGGTGGTAGGAAAAGTGACTCCCTGCTCAAGGACACTCCCTATTGGGCATAGCATGTGCCTACAAAAATGTTCCCTGAGCCTGTAAGCACTCCCAGTGGGGAAGTGGACAGGAGCCATTGGCCATAACCAGACAGAATTTGGAGAAGTTTTTATAAAGCTCCACTGAGAGTTTTAAAGAAATATACGTGGCATGATTTTTTAGAAGAGGAAGAGATTATTTAAATAGGATTTGAATCATGCAACAGCCAGAGTATCACAACCAGGATAACCCCTGGGCCCCATGCCTAGGGCATAGTAACTTTATTTTCCTTAAGACATAGGAAGACTTAATTTTTAAACGGTCACTGCCCAGTTGAAGGCACAACACTAATCAGATTTTAAGGCCCAAAACTCGGGTAATAGACCACCTTGTATCGAGGGAACTCTGCCACCTACACAAAATCCATGGATATCGTAAATTAAATGACACTACTGCCCTGATTACTCCTTAGATGTGGTCAAAACAGGATCAAATGTTTCTTCTCTTCCTTCCCCCAAGACAGTGTCCTGAACCTGTTAAATTAAGTCATTGGATTTACTCTGTTCTGTTTACAGTTTACTATTTAAGGTTTTATAAATGTAAATATATTTTGTATATTTTTCTATGAGAAGCACTTCATAGGGAGAAGCACTTACGACAAGGCTATTTTTTAAATCGCGGTATTGTCCTAATTTAAAAGAAGATCGGTTTTTAATAATTTTTTATTTTCATAGGATGAAGTTAGAGAAAATATTCAGCTGTACACACAAAGTCTGGTTTTTCCTGCCCAGCTTCCCCCTGGGAGGTGTACTTTTTGTTGTTTAATGTGTAGCTTGTTTGTGCCCTGTTGACATAAACGTTTCTTGGGTTTGCTCTTTGACAATAAATGGAAAAGGAAGGTCACCCAACTCCATCGGGTCACTCCCCTTTTTCCCATATTGAAACTCCTCAAAAGGCTAGTCGTATCTCAATAGCAATTTCTCCTCTTCTCTGCACTCTCTCTCCTTTCTGGCACTAGCTCGTCTTTCCTACTTCAGAGTTAGCAACTAAGTTGAATGGCAACCTGACATTTTCCATCACCATCTGCATCATAGGTCACCCCGTTCCCTTTCCCTCTGCCCACCAAGTCCTCATACCTGCAGAGAACCCACAATCCACTGTGCCCTCTTTTGGGGCAGCCCATTGAAACTGAAGCACAGTCTGACCACTCACAAAGCAGATGTTTCTCTGCCTGTCAGTCACAAGGTTTCAGAGCAGTGTTGTCCAGTAGAGGCGGGGCACCCTTTTTTTCTCCTGGAGAAGCCCGTTCCTATGGAAGTCTAGCAAAGCAATACGACTCAGCCCAGCGCTCTCTGCCCCAGGACTCATGGCTCTGCTGTGCCTTTCATCCTGGGCTCCCTGTTCTTCCATGACCTTAAGAACTTTATCCAGTGGCTTTGCTGGAACATTGTCACTGTTTTCACTGTCATGCAGGGAGCCCAGCACTGTGGCCAGGATGGCAGAGACTTCCTTGTCATCATGGAGAAGTGCCAGCAGGGTACTGGGGAAAAGCACTCTACCCAGACCTCACCTCAGTTGTCTTCATTTTCTAACACCTTCCTTTAAAGTTCTTTTAGCGAAGGTCATTTTGTCAGCCTTAAAACATCTTTATCTCATCTTCATTCTCGAGGGTTTTTTTTTTTTTTTTTTTTTTTGTAAAGAAAAAAAACCTTAAGCTGCATTTGTTACTGAACTGATTAATGCACTGATGGGTCATGAATTCACCTTGAGAAAGACCCAAAGGCCAGTCAAGGAGTGGGGAAACTCAGCTAAACAGACCTAGTTACTGCCCTGCTAGGCCATGCTGTACTGTGAGCCCCCTCCTCATTCTCTTTCTACCAGTCCCAAACCCTGAGGCCAAGGGAGGAACCCACATCTTTCCTTCTCTTGCCAGCTGCAGATGGTTTGCCTTGCCTTTCCACCCCCCCAACTGTAACCACGGAAATGAGAAACTCCTCTTACAGCTCAGCCTTGAGTTCATTGCCAAAATTCA